TTAACCGTGGGCTTAATAACCGGCGACTACTGTAGTACTGTTTTGACATAGCTGTTGTAATGCACTCTGCTATTTTGTGAGTTTCAGGTCGATCAGGCAAACATTTGTATTTGTTTTTATTGCAAAGCAGTTAAGCCATTGGGCGTCTCTCCTTTCTAGACTTGCTACTTCCACTGGTGCATAAGATATGGTCTCCTCTTCTGGCTAGAATGCGTGACAAGAACCCCGCCGTCGTGGAGAAGGTACGTCCACCCGTCTTCTAACCCCTTTTCGCACTACAGGCATTTGAATTATTTGCCGTACTGGCCAACTGCTCACGCACCTTCATACGCAGTCGGGCCTCCTCTGACCTCATGAATACCCTGGTAGTCTTCCTGGAACGCGGTGCCTCGGTTAGGTAGGTGTCCCTATTGGGGATCTTTCACCTACCCTTATCTTCCAGCCTTGGCGAGCCGGCTTCTTACGAGTTTCTGACGCCCTGCAGGGTCCAGCGGCGACTCCTGCGGACTCTTGGCCCGCTCTGTGTCCAGGTGAGTCTCCGTCAATATTTTTAAGATGTTGCATCACGCAATTTTCTCTAAATGAGAAGAGACTACCTTGAATTCACAGCCTCATTAGAAGCTGCGTTGTACTCTTTGTGTAACCACTGGATGCTGATGAGCTATTTATAGATGGAAATATATATAAAATAAAATGGGTGGCAGAGAATCACCAACTTGTCTCAATTTTCTACGTATATAAGTGCCTTCATTCGGTCAGTTGGGGATACAGTCATCGAAAGTTGATTTTGGTTGACAGTTGTCGTGATAATGGTTTTTTTTCGAACTATTCTTCCTGTGGCCTGAAAGTTTTAATTGACACACCCTTGATATTAATGATCGTGAAACCTGCAATGCTGGCGTTCTTCCATCAAAATTATCGCTGTTATTCGCGTGTCTGATAGCCGACGGGATAACTCGGACGAGTGTGTGTTTGGCATACTGAGAGTCAGGCTTCAATGGCTCATCCCTAATGTGGCACCCCCACTCCGTGGGATCCGAGCCATGTTTGCTGGTCCGCTAAGGAGCGGATGCGCCCTTTCCTGCCTCCCGTCTCCTTGACTTGCTCGTGACATCGAGCCCAGGTGGGTGGAAGGTGTGAGAGTGAGGTAAATGCACCGCAAGCCTACCACTTATTAAAACTTATCAACATTTTGCTTCCAGCTTGCTGAAACACGCGTTGGACATCGTCGGCAGTCGAACTCTCAGTATAAGGCCGCATTTTTTTCAGAAGGACATGAGGAGCCAAAACATCTGGAAGTTAGACTGTCATCAATGAGTGTATTTATTAAGCATAAATGGCTAGATCTTGCGGTACCTGCGATTGACTGGGCCAGAGGCAAACCGAGATGGCATTAGAACCCCTAGATTACTGAACAGTGCCTAAGGAGTTTTTTTTACTGTCTGCCCTTTTTATGCAGCTCCATTGCGGGCAACGCCACATGTTACTGAATCATAGCTGTTCTGCACCAAGAAGGAGTTCGAAGGTATTTACCTATATTTCTCTGATAAACCTGACCTTACCTGAGATTGCAATCACGTGATCGTCCGAGCGAAGTGAGTTTACTACATACTTATTTAAGACCCATTATGATTTCTGGCAATGCTGACTCGTTCTAGCGATGAGATCAGGATGAAACCGTCCTGTCTCATTGTAACTGGACTGCCGGTCTAAAGGATGACTGAGTATCACATCAGAAAACTTAGAAGCCTTAATTTAGTTCGTGTAAAACTAAATTCCGTTGGATTGTTTCTACTCGCGTGACTAAGCGCTCGTCAGAGGTGGGTCAACGTACATAATTCTCTTCTTCCATGTTGGTGGCGAGTCCATGATAAAGTCAGTGCAACAAGTTTGGGCGTAGACGTTTCACATCCTTGAA